ACGTATCCACACGCTGGTGGAAGTCTCATGACCAGGCTGTCGCGGTATCGCTGGCGCTGGGAAGGGAAAACATCCGCTGCAGGGGTGCCGGAGGGACAGACTTCACTCACGCTCATCGGACGAGAGCCGGGCAATTTCCCCTGACGCGGAGGGGCATGTTTTGTAGACCGCTGGCGCGCCAGGCAGCACCGCTCCGCGACGTCAGCCCCCGGGGTATCAATTACCACACCGTCCTTGCTGCGCGCGCCTCTGTCTGGAACGTGCCATTACAGATGGCCGTGAAACGGCGTAATTAATAGTGATGTTTTCACCAGCCTTCAGTTCTCCCAATGTCATGCCCACTACAAAAAGGTCAATAGTGTTGGGTTGTTCGCGTGGCGATAGGCACGTGTTTTAAGACAATGCTTCGAGGCTTCATCATTTTTCATGTCTGAGGACTTTCAAACACTGGTACACGGGCATTGCGTGATCGCGATCTTGTGCCTGCACAAATTGCTGCACTCTCCGTTCTTGGTGAGGACATCTCTGACTAGGGCTGTTTTCCTGTGCTCATGTCGGCAGCATGGTATGCAGCACGTACGGTTCCGCTTCATTAATGGTCTGGATAAGTACGGGGCGTTCGGCAGGAGCCGCCGGGAGCCTGCTGTGGGGACCGCGCTCTCGATGCGCGGCCCGCGCCTAGCACCAAACGCGAGTCAAGCCCTGCGCTGTCGCATTCCTCCCGCCCAACCCGCCGCGTAACGTGTGGGTGCCTCGGCAGCTGTTGGAGTTCAGGTCGGCCGGTGCAATCTGGTTTCAGTGAGAGGAGAGCTATCAGCTAGGTGTGATAGATGCACCATCCCCTTACCCAGACGATCATTCCGACTGATGCATGCAGCACACAACGGCATATGTTCACTGCAGTGCAGTGTACCGATAGTTGACGACAGTGAAATCCCGGATGGCTAGTCGCGTGCGACTGTCGGTGGACTCAACTTGTAACTTGAAGCCGACAACACATGTGGTACTCGGGGGGGGGGGGGGGGCTTAGCAATGATCGATAGGCTTTCGCACTGATTAGTGCAATGATTGTCTCATCCTCTCACATAGCTACCCTGGCTTACCCAACAGGAGCGTTTCTCTTACATCAACGTGCATTTCTGCGAGAGTTTAGCCTTGGCATCCCTGAAGCCGGAAGCCAACTGGTGACATGGGCAGCGGCTGACAGCAGGACTGCAGATTCCTACCACCACGGGGTGCTCTCGACCGGCGGACCAGTTACGCCTCGTACGCTAATCCGGCTGGCGTCGACCCAACTGCCGCCCGATCGAACAGCATTAACTGATAGAAAGTTGCATGCGTACAGTGGCGCGTGTTTGTTCTGTTTTCTTCATTAGCGGCACATGATTGGTCTCATTATGGCTAGGAAGCTCAATTAGTTATGGGAGGAGTGGCAAGCTCTGAGCACACAGCGCGTGTACTAACGTTCCCACGCGAGCTGGTCGCTTATATCCCGCACGCTTTCACCGCCTACTGTTGAGCTATTGGGGGATGGTGATTGTTTTCTTACGTGACACATGGTTCGATATGGGCGTAGCTCGCGATCAGATGAACTCGATCGGAATGTTTCCATATGTGTCGCGTATCAATCTTTGTGTAAAGGCATGTGTGAAAATGTCCTGCGTTGTCTCACTCACGCAGTATCAGCTCACTGACCCACGTACTTCACAGTGTTCGGGCAGGTTGGTGTTGTACATTCATTATAGGCTTAGGGAAGAGGGGTGGCACTAGCCCTCCGTTTTTGGTGGAGACTTAACAGCGGCGCCATGACGGTACGGGGAATTAATCGGCTTTTGATTAGGAACATGAGGTTCGGCTTCCCACTTTTTCCTACGGTTCTATGCCCTTGGCAAGTATGCGGATTAGTCAGCCCAGAAAGAGCGGATGCGGACGCTAAGCTTATATCCACCTGTATGAATCGACCGCCCTATGGCAACCTTCCTCACTATTCTCGCGCCACCACGAGGTCGGCAGCCGGTTCTGTGCCGGCCCCGCGCCTGCGATGCGTGCCTCCGCGCCGCCGCCCGTCCCCGGCCTGTGCCGGCTGGCTGGCGGGCGGGACCCCATATAGATCCCGTCTGGTGTAGGGCCGTGTGTGGCGGAGGCGGAGGAGGCCGCGTCCTTCCGCTGTCCGCCGCCGGGCCCGCCGCCGTCGGCAGATGACACCGGTTCACCTTGGCGCGCCGGGCCTCCCCTGGCATCGGCGGCGGCGAAGCCCGGGGAGGCGCCGCCTCTGTGCCGTGACCTTCGGCGGCTGGCGACCCTGCCAGGGCTCTGACCTCCCCCGGGGTCGAGGTGGGCGCTGGGCCGGGCAGGAGGCCCCCGCCGCCGGCGGCCCTGTCTGACCGCTCGGACGCCGTCCGGGGCGTGCTCGCGCGGCAGAGAATGACCCCTCCTAATGTGCACCGCCGGGCGCTCCACCCGATCGGATCGTTGACCGGCGCTGTCGGACTGGGCGCCTCCCGTGGAGAAGCCGGGCGGCCGGTGCGGTGACCCCTCACCGGCCAATGGGTCCAGCACCGGTCACCGAGACGAAGACGACTCGGCAGCCAGAGACGGACAGCGGTCCCGTCCTCAGGCCACAAAAAGCGCCGCCTGTCCAGTTTGGCATGACGCGGTTCAACGGTCGGGCTCTGGGCCGTTCCTGTTTTCCGTGCGGGATTCCTGGCCGACCCCGAACTGTTGTGTGTTGGTGTTATTGGCAGTCGGCTGCCCTTGTGGCGCCCGAGATCCTGCCTCGTCACGGCTCCGAATGCGCCAAGGTTAGATCAGCGCGCCCAGGTACGCTCGTCTCCCCAGATGTCCGTGATGTCCTCTTCTACCGATTATGCGCGCGGGCTAGTAACTATTCTATAGTCTATTTTATGGTCACCTGGCTGCGAACCTAGCACGTCCAATGGGCCCCGCAGTATCTATCGTTCGCTGGTGGAATAATCCGACCGGATATGCCCGACCCGACCCGACTCGACCCGATCTGCTCCGATCTGAGGTCAGAGAAGCTGCTTCTGACAACCAGAACGTCCTGCAGGGGAAAGGAACATCTTAACACGCGTCCAACATTCATAAATCCATTTGGAAACACGATATGGCCAAATATGGACAGTTCTGTGGAAGCCTTACGCATTGAGCTGACGGACATTTTAATGCAAGATTTGTCTGGACTGAAATTTGTGAAAGCTTACTGGTTGATATGCCACTTGCAAGCTTTCGACATTCGCTAGAGTGCGTGCCAATTACTTCTTATTACCTTTCACATTGCTTATACCACCATCAGCTGTCTCCGTTAGTGCGGAATTTCTCAACCAGTACGTGTTATAACCCAGTTTCCTGGTCTTAAGACTTACTGGCTGCTTTGCGACGCTGGCTGCTTTCAACATTTTGGCGTGCCATATAGTGTCAGGGGAAATTGCTAATATTATTTATCAACTGTGTGTCTAGTCACGGGCCCTTCCGTGTTTCTTGGTATGCGTATTAATAACCGTTACAGTGTGCGCGCGGAAGACAAGCCGGCTGCGTTTATTGCCGTCAGATTGGAGCAGCCACAAGCAGTGGTGGTCACGTGCACAGCCCTCGTGATAATGACAACCGGGAGTCCGCGAAGGTTGTGAAGCGGCACCAATCCTCCGCTCTGTAAAGCTGGCGCCAAGCGCAGGCTTCTCAGAGACGAATACGCCACAGCCCCCTGGCAGTGACTTGCGCCGGCGGCGCGGAGCATCGTGCGCCATTAAAGGCGATCTGGCTCCGAGCGTGATCAAATGATCCTGGCACTGGCCTCGTTGGTTCCGAGCGCGGGCGCTGCCCTGCCCCAGTGAATTCATGGCGTCGCTGAGATGCTGTCCGCGGGCGCGGAATCGAGCGATGGAATCGATACGAACCGGTTCCCCGTATACAGTTGGTTCTACTGCGCACCGCTCGAGAGCGATGACCGCTAACTGCTCAGGGCGGGGCGGTCGGTGATGCTCGGGGTCTGTGACCTAACCTGATGTGACAGTGGTTGTTGGACTGTGACCTGACCTGACGCGATGGAGACTGTCGGACGGTAACCCGGGAGGAGTCTGTGACTTGACGTGACAGGGACTATTGGACGGTGACGTGACGTGACGGGCAGTGACAGTAGGCGTGTGAACCGGGAGGGGTATGTCACCTTACGTGACAGGGACTGTAGAACGGTGACCTGACGTGAGGGGCGGGGACTGTAGGCGGGTGAACCGGGAGGGGTATGTGACCTGACATGACAGGGACGGTAGGACGCTGGCCTGCTTATACAGGGTTCTTCGAACTGTGGCCCGTGAGGCCCGTTCCCGTGCTTACCTTCGGGCAATTGCATGGAATGCGGCCCGATCAGTGATGTTATCATTAATGGCTTCACTATTCACTGCTGTTGGGTCGCTTCTACTACCAAGCAATAGCCGAAATGACCCCTGCGTTTTGCATCTAGGTATGGTCAGTGATGTAACTTGTAAACCTCCTTCCCGCGGTCATTTGTGGGCATGTACGTTCGTGTAGTCAGCATGCAGACGTTCGCGTCATGCGACGAACTGTCCCCGTTCGCTTTTGACATGCGTCGCTCCCCTTCCAGAATGCATCGAGAGCCTGGGCTTCGGCGCCGCGTTCGTCTGCCACGACTGTCAGGAGAAGCGGCAGCAGACGATGAAGCAGAACCTGAAGAACGCCGGCCAGCTCCGCACCGGCCGTGTGGTGTAGAGGGCGCCGCCGGGCCCGGCTTGCGGCGCCGCAGGCCCACGCAGGTGGCGCAGTCGGCGGACGCAGGTGGCGCTGCTGCGGTGCCGTTGCCGGCGGCACGGTGCAGTGATCAGCGGGCGGACGCGATTGTGCACTAGCACTGGGAGTGCGCTGTCAGGCGGGAGCTGGCGACCACTGGTCGGAGAAGCACGCCGGTGGCCACAGCTGCCACATATATTCAGAGACTGCGTGGGCGAGCCTGGGTCATTCAGATCCATTCACGTAGTCTGCGAAGACAGCGCCAACATTCAGTGAAACCCACGGCCGTCTTCCAAGGATTCTTCAACGGACCGTGACCCGTCGCTCGTTTTAGAACGGATTCTCGCCTGATCTAGAGTCACCGACGGCTTTTGGAGCGTTCGCGTGTGGGCACCGCCGCATTCCAGGGACTGAGAGTTTTGACGCCGGCGTCGGCGCCGGCACTGAGGCCTTACACAGGGCTCAGCCTAGCGTGGCGGGGCTTTGGTGTCGTGAACGGAGGCCTGCCCAGTCAGCGGCTCCGAAGCCGACATTGATCGCGCCCGCGCAATCTGTGAGAGGACACGGCGCCGTGTTTTGGTGCCCGCCTTTGTGGTCGGGCTTTGACTGGCCTTCAAGAAGTTGCGATGTTCCCAAAGATTCAGCGGCGCGGAGATGATTTGAGCTGCACAAAAAGTGGAGGCCGTGTTGAAATTCAGCAAACATCGCCACTGTTTGAGGGAGGCCGTTTCCTCCATGGCATGTAGACTTCGGCCATGGAGGGGATCTTTGAGGTCGGTGGAAAGCATAGTATTAAGTTTCTCAGTGTCGTGTGTTTGTCTCGGACCCGCGTTCATTGGAGATGTGCAGTGTGCGGTGTGAGGTAGACTCTATAGTGCACTCGTGGTGGGCCCAACTATCGTTCGGTGGTTGTCTCCTGCACTCTAGCTCCAGTCCCGCGGACTTCGTTTGGACCACTTTTGTAATAAACGCTGCTCCGGACACGCTATATTCAAACACGACAACAACACAGGATCGGGCGTCGGCCTCCACTACGACCAGCGTACGACCAGCGCAAGCAGGGCGGCGGCGACTGCGGCGGGGTTGGGCGATGTTCGCACAGCGGGGGCGCTGACGCCTGGTCTCCCCGTGCTGCCACCGCCGTATTGATCAGCTAGGAGGTCGTGAAGCCGGCGCGGGTACGCGCCCAGCACTCGCAGCACGCGGGCGGCGCGGTTGACGCGGCGCACGCGCAGCAGCGCGCCGGCGTCGGCGTCGAACGTGACGCGCACGTGCACGCGGCGCAGCGCGACTCCCAGCCGGCTGCTCACCTGGTACAGGCGCACGTAGAGCGTGGCGTTGCGGTGCGGCACCCGCAGCGCGCGGCCGGGTGCGGCGGCCAGCGCGTCGGCACACTCGGTGCGGCCGTCGCCGGCGGCGCCGGGCAGCACCAGCACCGACAGGCCGAGGCTGCACGCGTCGCGCGCCAGCCGCTCGAACGCGACGCCGGCCAGCGCCTGCGCCAAGTAGGTGGCGGCGTCGACGGAGGCGCGCGCTTGCGTGCCGGCCGAACCGCGCAGCAGCAACGTGCACGACTCGGGCCGGTACTCGTGGCGCACGGCCAGGCCGGCGGCGCCCAGCCTAAAGGCAGCCGGCCGCCGCACGGCGCGCAGGCAGCGCGGCGCCGGGAACGGCGGTCCGACCGTGGTCTGGCAACGCGCGCCGCCGTGGCTGCGAGGGCACAGGCAGCGGCAGCCGGCGCCCATGTAGCCGAGGTTCTGACAGGGCGCCGCGCGGCCGCCGCAGCGCCGCCGCGCCCAGAGTCGCACGCAGCCGTACTCGGTGTTGATGACGTAGCGGTCCAGGTGCGACAGCGTCGGCAGACCCGGCACGAAGCGCACGTCGTCGTTGTGGTCGACGAGGTGCTGGTGCAGCGGGTTGCGCGTCACGAACACGGCGTTGCCGTCGCGGCTGCCGGCGAACGTGCCGTAGTGCATGATGGAGAGGAAGTCGTACGGCACGCGCGGCGCCGTCAGATCGCACACTTGCGACTGTGCCCAGAGGTGGCGCGACAGGCGCATGTGGTGGAAGTTCACGCTGAGCTGGCGGCGCGCCGCCGGCCGCGACATCTCGTGCGCCAGGCCGACCGTGTGGCCGATCTCGTGGATCACCGACGTCTGCTTGCACATGTTGGGGTCGAGGTTGAGGACCTGCGGCCGCAGCCAGCCGGGCCGGCGGCGCGACGGCAGCTGCTGCCGACCTACGGCCGAGTAGCAGCCGTCGGGCGAGCCCTGCACGCAGACCACCGGCTGGCGGCTGGGATGGCTGCAGTTGACCCACGAGTCGTGCTCCACCTCCCTGCCGGGGGGCCCGGATCGGGACGGAGTCACGCTCGGTTGGGCATGCTGCTATGGTGTCTCGGTGGCGTCGTGAGACAAAAATAACTTGGTCGAATGTGCGTAACGTAAGGATCTGGGCGAGCAAATTGCGCGCCCAGATCTCTGAAAGCCTCTTTTGCTAATCGGTGCCCAAACATTCTACCCATCCTGCCGAGTTATACCCAGCACTGGGCTCATCCAACCTCAAATCATATGAGATGGATCTGACTGCTTCTACCCAACCGTCCACAGAATTAGCCTCGCGCAACCGAAACTCAGACGGCTTTGTTGTCCTTCTGGCCTGTGCGAGTGTGGTAATCACGGCTGAACCGCTGGCGGCTCGGCCTCGCCTACCTGAAGCGGATGCAGGTGTGGTGCTCCCAGTGCCGTCGGCCATGTTCCCAGGCCTCGCGCACGCCCTCGTCGGCGTCCGAGGCCAGGTAGAAGGGCACCTCGGGCCAGCCGGCCGCGCCCGGCGGCCAGAGCGCGTCAGCCAGCAGGCCGCCGCGCGTCGGGTCCGGCTGGTAAACCCACGCCAGCAGCTTGTGCTGTGGCCGCGGCCCGCCGGCGGCCGGCTCCGGCGCCAACATGTCGTCGTTGAGCTGGCCGAGTCCGAGGCCGAGGCCGGGCGGGCAGGCGGCGGCGCTGGACAGCAGCAGCAGCAGGGGCAGAGTCTGCCTGTAACAGAGCGCGGAGGCGTACCGGATACATGGCGATCAACGTGGCCATGGCGACGGGCGGCCTTCGCGAGAGGATGAACGGCTTTGGGTGGCATTCAGCCATGGTTAGTCCGTTAACGTGATTACACTGTCGTCGCTGCAGTCGCAGCTTTGGTGGCACTAGTGTTTCCATCAATCCTGCTTTTGTTTTGAGGCTGGTCCAACGATCATGCTGCACAAGCCTGAACAAGTTTGTAAGGCTCAAGGATTTGAAAAGTGGCAGAAATAATAACCATAATGCTATTGAAAAATGGGTTGGCAAAGAACAGCGAGTGGTGCTGTTTCAGCAGACTTTTGTTTCAGTTAAGCATCATTACTGTAGCATCTTATACTTATATTAATTTTTATTTACAAGAAAAACATTTCGAATAGCACGTAACATTGGGAGGACCCGTAGTGGGAGGCTGCGCATCAGCCACTGGCTTCAGATTTTTAAAGCTTTCATTATTTGTTGCTTTCGCCTTTGCTCCTCTTACCTTTTTCTTTTCGCATCCTTTTCCATTCCGCGGTTTGCTTCTCACAGAAAAGGAGGTTATCCGCGCATGCAATTGGATAAAATTACATGAGGGGATGCCCAACGCTGATTGCGGCCCATGGCGAAGCTAAATAAGCCTGACTGAGTCTATAGGGAGCACATAACAGGGAAATTAGGATAAACCCGTCCGAGATTAAACAGATCAGAGTCGCTGCGCGTTTCGCGTGCTGAAATCTATATTACTTTCCATTCGAGTTAGAGACTATGTCCAAACCCTAGGTTTTCACAATATTGCTAAGCGTCTGATCCTCTTTCATTCGCTTGAGTTGGGTCCGGGCTCAGAGTTGCCGTTTCTTTAAATTGGTGACGCTGAGTGGGACCTTGATTCGCCTGGCAAATGAATCACTTCACTCCTGGATTGAATCCAAGTCCCGAATGGTCGTAACCTCGGAATAGGCTAAGAGTAAGTCGTACCTGCTGCTTGATGATTTCTAATTATAGAAACGGTAGTTGGTCCTCCAACATTAAACCACGCCGGGATTCGGACTACCACCATCATGGAAGGAGCTACGCGCGACACTTACCGTTTCCACAGCCATGTCCTTCCTCATGCAGGCACGTCAAGTGAAGAAATCCTGTTATTCCTGCATGAAGCCTTCTGCTAGGTGACACCTTTCCTATAAAGTGTGCCTCGCATGCTCAATGTCAGCCTTGCCAGTGACTTCAGAGAAAGTACAGTTTGATAAGATAACGTAAACCTTCCTTTGAGCAATGGTCAACTTGCCAGATGCAAACACTGCTATGCGAATTAGTCTCTGGGCTATCTTGTTTTCCTATAAAGATTCTGGGTCCTTGTGCTATCTTAATATTGGCCTGATATCTTGCTTCTTCACGATACTACGCTGAGTTACTGAAAATCAAGGTGCAAAGCTGACAAAAGCGAGAAAATTCTGAAAAGCCAACAGTCAAGCATAACACGTGCAACCTGTTTCTACGCGCACCTCCGCAGGCGATAGCTCCGGCTGAGCAGACGTAGGCTGTATTTTCTATTTGAGCCTGACGCATGTGTGCACCAAACATTCCGCATGGTTTGCACAGGGTTTTAACATAAACCAGTCGGCTGCCGATGAGAGTATGCTTCCGTCATATACATGCGTTCAACTTGAAGGCAAACCGCCCACTTGTATGGCAAACACACGTCCCAGTCCAAAAACCTGAGTCCGAGCCCAAGTGATGGCTTCATGGATCTGAGCTTGTGACTAGGTCCGAATTCGAATCTGAATTCGTGTTTATGTCAAGCATTTCCACGTCACGTGTTGGTTCGGGGTTATGTCGAGTCGTACTTGAGTCTTGTTTTATTGTCATAGATAATATAGTATTAATAACTTCATTTCTCGGTCAAAAACCAGGAGAATGAAGATATAGAATGATGAATAGAGATACATAGTAATATTTTTTAACGTCTTAGCTGTCTTATCTAGGTAAATAACGTTCCTCGCGAATATATTTTTAACAGCTTACGTAACCTTGTTTTATTTTTGTGAAGCGTTAATCCCGAATCTGGGTCATAGATTTAAAGACATTTTACTCCAGTTACGAAACATTCAGTTAGAATTGAATGCGGATCCAAATCTAGACCAGATATATTTTTTTTTCAATGAGTCCGAGTAGAACCCGATTGATGTATGAAATAACGTGCCTGTTGTGTTCAATCGTCAAAGGTCTCAATTGCGGAATCAGTTTCGAATGCGGTGACACTCGGCCCCATACATCTCACATATATGAATGCGCATAGTTTACTTAATCCTCAGTGAGTCTGTGTCGCATCGCATTTTTTATCGCACTAGTCTTTGTCGCATTTAACGCATCAGCGAAATTGCAAGATCTCGTGAATTTATTTTGTTTTTCAAGCAAACGTATGCCTCAGAGCCAATTTGTAAATTCAAGGAAGCGATCTCATCCTAATCCCTCTCCTCGTCGGATGATAACTGCCATAAAGCGATGACATGCACCGCGCGGCCTCGACCAGCCGCTGGCGACCATCCCCTCAGCTCCAGCCCCACCGGGGGCGACCTAGGGCCCCGCGGTCGTCGGGGGCTCGTTACCCGTTTATGAGCGCTGATGAAATCGAGACGGAACCACGCTCCGGCCTACATCCGCACCATTGTGGAGGCTGATGCGGAAGTCGCCGCGTCGGAGACGATGGCGACGTCCCGCTGGCGATGTCGGATGCATGGGCTGGACGTTAGTCGTCCAGTAACAATACACGTCAGCCGCAAGTGTTGAAGCACACTGTGACCCCATCAGTAATGGTCCAGTTGGCTTGGACGACTGCCATTGGTGGTAACATGGTACATGGCCTGGTGACATGGCCTGGTGACATCACGCGTGGAGTGTAAGCATTTTTCGGTTGATATAAACTGGACCGTGTTTCTGACACCTATTGTTGTCATGTCAACGTGAAGTCTGTTGCTCGTTATGTTTTCTCAATATCTATATCCCATGGCTTCGATTCATTTCCCCCAACGGCTGAACTCATGCTATATACGTCATGTTTATAGCATGAACTCACATTAGCGCTGCTCTCACCACTTCTTCCAATTACCCAGTTCACTTTTCCGTTGCCGAGCATATGAGTGTCGCATAGAAGGAGAATGATCACGCTTGCATGGCCAGAGTCATGACTCTGGGGTGTTGGTGCTTGCGAGTGTCGCTGCTCTTTGGTCAGAGAGAAGCGCTTGACAGCAAAGCGCTGCTCTCACCGAAGCGTCGTCTGTAGATCTACTGAGGCCCAGCAGTTCCATTCGCCGAGTCTTTGGTTGCCTGACTTATACAGACATTCATCGGTGGTGTTCCTGCCCATTTGAACTTTTGAACAAGACGATCGATTCTAGATTCATTTGTTATGCTCGTATGCTCTGGAACCCCTGTCCGTGCATTGTAGGTCATCTTCTTTAAGTTTGTCTTTCCTATCCACCCAACGTTGAGCCAGCTGTTCAACGTAGAGTGATAAAGCAATGGAACGTACTCGTGTCCGGTTGGGAGGACCACAAAGGCATGGATCACAGCTATATGTATAATGCGATATAATATATGTATAATGCGATTCGACTTCGGCGGACTTCCACAAGCAGAAGCTAGTTTTTTTCCAAAACGTGGCTTAAACTTCAGGCTTGACATCAAAGCGCTGCTCTCACCACTTCTTCCATTTACTCATCACGTTTCCGTTGCCGAGCACTTGAGAATCGCATAGAGGACGATCACGCCTACACCGACACATTTACCAAGTCGATAGATGGTTTGCGCATGGCCATCTTTGGTTGAGATCAAAGCTCTTGCTATTTCCAGCTCCACCAGCAAACTTCAGGCTTGATTTAGAATGATCTCTACGTATGTTCTGATTCTGACTTATACATCCTGATTTATGCCCGATCGTGATTCATGTATCAAAGCCAATTCGAGATGAGAGGAGTGCTTCAGCTAAAGTGTACAATACTGAATGATTGTTACATAACTGTCATACAGCGCCGCCATGCGGCCACCCGCGCCAAGCCTCAGCGATTGGCCCTCAGCAGCTGCGAATTGACTGATCTTAAGTCTTGACCATTACATGACCGCTATTTCGAGGATGTGAACTCACGAGTCGGCCATGCGTATGCAGTC